AGTCGTCTATACGATGATTGACTGAACGGGATAGTGAGGACTGAAAAGAGTAGCAAAACTAACAGTTACCTCTTTGTAATCTATGCTTACTCACCCACTGAATACAGTTCAGATGAAGTGAAAGATGAGTTCTACCGAAAACTGTCTTGTTTTCTACCGAAAGACAAACTTTCACACATGATTTTCTTAGCAGGTGACTTCAATGCACAAAAAGGGTAGATACAAAGGCACTTAGGCTGCACTTCCAGAATCCTAGTGTTGAAGGCTGTAGTCGACTGTCAAAAAATGGTTGGAAAGCCAATGGATCTCAGTAACGTCTTCAGAATTAATAGATGCATGCGAACGCATCCCTGCAAGTTGCAAGGATAGTGACATGTGGAAGCAACGAAAATGCAGATTGACAAATAGTCGACGCAATGACCACCAACAGTGGTGCGCAACGAAGACAAAAGAGATGAAAAAGGCAGTGGCATTAAGAAAAAGCACACAGTTATTTCGACATCACAGAAATGGAGGCGAAGAGGTCAATGGCTAGTGAGACAACAGCGGAGAAGCACAGATCCGTGGTCCACTCACGGGAGGGATGGAACGATGGGCTGAACACTTCGAGAAACTGTCCAACTGGCCTTTAGCTACTTTACCGCTGCTCACGATCCAGTAGCACCCTGAATGGAAAGTTGCAAAAAGGCCTCCAACACTTGCAGGTCTAAAAGCTGTAAGCAATCTGGAATGAGGAAGGGCAGCAAGGTTAGATTGACTAGTTACAGAGCCAGTTAAGGGTGGCGGTAGAGGATTAGTGAACGGATTAACAGAAGTGTTGACTGGCGTATAGTAGTCGGCTATGATCACCTGTGAAAGATATTAATCACTGATTGTCCCAAGCTTCAAGAAAGAGGAGAAATCCTCTTCTGATAACCAAAGGGGAATCAGCCTGACAGTGTTTGTCAATGAAAAGGGTGTTGAGTAAATACATCACTTTGTTTAAGGCTGTTTACGCGAACACCCGTGGGCGTGTAAAGGTCTATGGCGTGTTACCACATAAGTAGTGTAAGCCAAGTGGTAACCTTCTAGAATGTCTACTCCCTTCACCCTTACTCAAACTTATCAGATATACCTGGGAAGGTCTGTCTATCGTCGTCTGACTTCCTGAGAACTGATCTTACCACAAGAGAAACCTCCGTAGATCTAGAGCACGCAGATCACATAGATAAAGACACTGACAAGATGTGGTCCTCTGGACACCTTAAGTGGCGATTTAGGAATGTTTGGGATATGTTTCTCGCAACCCAAATGTGAACTGTTGCTCCAGAATCGGTTGTGACTAGTGTCTTATCTAACAACAGAGGGTGAAAAGATTGGGCGCGTTGACAACTTCACGTGTCTGGGATATCCGGTCAGCTCTGGTGACCAATGAAATCTCATCACGCATACAAAAGGTTCGATTGGCATTCACCAAATTACGCCGCCTCTAATGTCACAGTGATTTCTGATTTTCAATTAAGGATTGAGTCTATCGCACTGCAGTTCGTTTTCTTTTAAAGTATATTTGCGAAACATGACTATTAAAGGCAGAAAACATGAGAAGGTTTCAGGTGTTCAACCACCGTCACCTTCATCGTATAGGCCATGTGTTGTGGTGTCACCACGTCAGTAATGAGAAAGCCAGGTGTGGAGTTTTATGGAAGAGAGAAAAGCCAGTTGGTGACGTTTTGAACGGTTATCCATTGAAGTGTCAGGGACATGCGTTACGCATGTCTAGTCACCATCTGCAACGCCGTGCAATGTTGACTGAATCAGGTTTAGATTGGAAAACGGATAGAGGTGACCAACCAGACGAAAACATGACATCAGTGCATAAAATCTTTGAGCCATGTGAGAAAATGCAGACAACGGAAAATAAAGGTTGTAAACTCTGGGTGACATGGCTCAGAATCATTTTCAGTGGCGCAGACACACCTAAAAATTACCTTCATCCTAATCGTCATACCGAATTCGGCAGTTTTCTCTTCCTACTGCTTTCCGCCACTTTTGATTGCTTTCTTCTTTTTACATTTATCTTTAATTTTAGTGCTTTGTCGCTTGATATATTGATATGTGTAGCGACTTAACACAGCAACCCCAGTTCCAAAGTTAATTTTGTCTGTTTGTCACTAATTGACGAGCATCTTCAAATCACAAGACGATATCAATATGCGTATTCCAGGTCAATCATGGGTATGCCCTATTAGGCCAGGTGAGGAGACGGAAAACTCTATAACCATATCGATGACAGAGTTAAGCAAAAATGGAGTATGTCCATGACCGATAGCTGCTACCTCGACCTAATGACCGGACTTGCACATGACAATGACTCAACGAGCTACTTTGGATGAGACGCTTGTTCCATGAGGTCCTACTATGATAGAAGGGTCCGTTGTATAGCTGTAAGACAAGGCAGCTGTTTATAGTGTACACTGCTAAACTATGATGGGTGTGACGGAAAAGTCGTACTGCTGGCTGGACGTCGTATGACAGCAGTAAAGTGTTTCCTATGGATGACCAGTAGCACTACATTCCTGCTACTCTCACAATAGCAAAGGGGGAAAGGAACGGTCAGTCCCAGAAATGTTTGGCATGTTTAATGAATGGTTCACAACTATTCGCAGTTGAAGGATAGAGAATAAAGTAGTAAAATGCGTCGACCACTCCAGTTGAGAAGTAGCATCAGCTCGAATGGGCTGGTTGCTGAAGAAATCTCAGCTCGGATACAAAAAGACTGTTTGGTATTCGCCAAGTTATGTTATCAATGGCACCAACTGGGAAGATATTAGAAGTAAATGAAGTGAACTTTTAACAACTGGGGTGGCTTGGATATGGGTTGCACATGCCCAGCCACAGTCTACCTTGAAGTCCACTCCTAAGAGAAGTTCCATTAGGTTGAACAAAGGCTCAGGATGATCAGACAAGGACATAACGTCAGTTAGTCTGAGCCATTTGAGGAGGTTTAGGCTGGGTCCTTGTGATGATACGAATCAATGGTTGGAGACTTGGTGAAATGGATGAATATCGCTCACAGTCAACATCTTTCAAAGCCTGAATATTTTCACTAACCTGCATTTTCGAACTCATTCTCTCCCCTACACCTTTGTCTACTTTGATATCAGTCTTTTTCAACTCATTATTTAGATACTATTGTGAAGTATGGCAGATTAAGCGGATACACCTGTGTGCAAGATTGTACGCTGATTTTGTCTGTCTTTGTCTGCACGGTCAGTGGGTGCGTATGCCTAAGACAGACAGACAATGGAGTGTTTCGCTGCTCTTTTCAATCCTCACTGCACCAACCGATTGAAAAGTGAACAAGTAACTATCATCTGAAAACCAGTCGAACAGTACACTCTGCCACAAGACCTAATGCCAAACTAACAAATGCAAAACCGCAACAGTTAGCCATCGAATCTCCAGAAACTCGAAGAGTGAAATTTATGAATACACTGAATAGGCCGAAAGAAGTTAATTTAATAACCACACTTGCATTTTCCATGCACATCTCATTAATACAGCTCACTCCATAGCGCAACATATCTGGCTTTTGATTAGCAAAGCTTGTTATCCGATGTGACGGAGGTTGAAGGCATTAAAAGCTCCGTATGGTTTCAGAAGACCAGTGATGTCGTCCGGTGAACTCGAATTGTCATAATGCGCTGCAGAGCTGAAAAGCGTATGAAAGTGATGTAGGAACATTGACCGATAGTCGTGAGGAAAGATTAGAAGGCAAATATGTGGGAGGTTGATAATGATCTGAGAGAACTTGAGTGCTGACAGAGTTGTGAAGGCAGTTGACACTTCCTGACTGCTCATATTGAGGACGGTTACTTTTTTTAGATACTTGGTTAGGGAATTGAACTAGTAATAGTGATGCGTGATCGCAGAGCCCAAGATATATCTGCTTGAGGCAGGTCACACAGTCTTCTTGGAAATCTAAGATTTAGCTTTGATTGTCCGGCTAGCAAACTCATGCTGTTGGCAACAGAATACACCAGGATGGAGGTATGGTATTTTCGAGGTCGACCTTTTAAGACACCCCGTACTCGTAGAGAAGGCAGCATCAACAAGGTACTGCTGACCATCCACAAGAAGCACCTTACTGCGTTCATATCCCATCCAGCCAGCAGTTCGACTTTGTCCTCGAACTCCATATCACAACGCAGTAATTTGCAGCATAAACAACTGACTTTCGTCCTATCACTATCAAATAAATCTCCCCTGCATGGTAGAACATTCAGTTTGCAAGTATTTCCACCGACAATCTATCGGGTCATTATGGTATGCAAGTTCGAATGCTATAGCAAAGTAACAACTATCGGTCGGGACGGCTATTATAATGTAGTGCAGATACCTAGGTAATTTAAATTCCTTATTTCCATCCACACTAACACCGTAAATTGTATTTCTAACGCGAAGCATAAAGTTGCACTGATGTCCAGAGAACGATTTAGAGACAAGACAGACTCATACTATAAACATCATGAATGCGATAAATACTTTGCTATACTTTCTGCACTGGGCAAGACGAATATTTGGAAGATCATGAGTAGTTGTAAGGTGTTGAAGAAACTAAGACGGTAAAACACTACAAGATTCCAGCACTGCTATATACGCGTTATCTTCACAAACAAAGTGCAAATCAACTCACAAACCAAGTGCACTTTTACGCTGTAGGCAGTAAGCTACACCTATTATGAAGGCATCATACTATCTGGCTAGCCAGATGCGCGTACACATAAGAGAAATCGAACCCATGACCAGTTAGTTGAGTCAACTACCCAGACCCAAAGCGTTTACTTCGTTGAAATGAAAATTCTACAAATGACAACGAAATATAAGTTTTAAGTAATAGCAGACGTTTTCGCTAGTTGCACAATGTGTCAGAAAACAGTAACATTGAACATATCGATTATTGAGCATGCTCTGTTACATAAAAGTGTAAATGCCCTCTACATCAAGGGTGTTGGACGTACCTTAGGTTCAGGAGGTGGCATTAGTCCAAGTCTAACCTTTTCTTGCTTCTCTCTTTGAGCTTCCTGACGGTTCTGGCGTCTTAGCTTTTTACGCTCCTTTTTTGTTAGAAGTAAAGGTATTTCTGGTGGTTTAGAAAGATCAGTTGGAGGCTTCAACTTAACCGGATGCTCAACTAAGCTAGTAATCCACGCTTTATTTATAGCAGCTGAAACTGGGAGTCCATGTACGGCAAGTTCATCTAAAGTCGAATAACTGAAGGCAACGTTTACACATCAATCACTTACCTGGTTACACCTTCCTTAAGAATATAAGCATCCCACCACTCTAATGCCGGTATATCCGTTTCATCAACTGCACGTTTCGGTTGGATAGTCGACAGTTTAGCTGCACTGGCTATACCCGTCTTTCTGACGGCGTGAGCAACGGATTCTTGTAGGACCTGCAGTTGGTACTTCGTCCGCATGCGCTGAGCAAGTTTGACGAACTTCCCGGGTTCATGGAAAATTAGTTGTCGCTTCGGACGCACAGCGGCTTTAACTCTGTAGATAAGTCACAATAATGCTAAGTGTTACCTGAGTCGAGGATCGAAGAATACTGTCGAAACAGATGACTTCTGTGGTTTCTTTTGGGTTGTAGTTTGAAAAACTTCCTTGAACTGTTGGGCTCGCTGGGCCCTAAGGTTAGCCTAGGTATGTTAGTTTTTTTCTGCATTTAAATACCTTTAACGTTGGTGTATAATGAGTAAGTTGTATTTCCTCTCCCGTGGCTGCATCAATCGTTTTACCTTCCTCGTCGAAGATCACACTAGCCAGGTAGTCAGATGATAGTATTTTACTTACTTAGGAGTATCCTTAGGCTTCCTAGTGATCAATGGTAAGCACGTATCACTCTTTTACCTGGAGTCACTGTTAACAGTATGACTACTGAGAATTCCGGTGTTCAAACGGGCAGTTATTTGAGCTTGAAGTTGAGCAGCCCGTCTCATTTTGTCTACGGTTTCTGTATCAGGAATAACACCCGCAGGGAAATTAAGCCCGTTTGCTGAGCCGTTCTCAGTCTGGCGATAAGATGAGAATGCTAGACTACCATAACCTACCAAGCCCAGCTCAACCTTTCGCTGAGCTATTGCTCTTTGTGCATTCGCCATCATTTCACGAATCTTGCCTGCTGTCAGCTCCACCCTGCTTTAAAAGTAAAGCTTGAAAACGGAATTTACGGTGCAACTCCAGTGCCAGCTGGTCCAGCATTAAACGACGACATCCTAAGTTGAACAACGTCCTAACCTTGAACACAGCACTAGTCTAAAGTTCCCACCTATGGCAATGCATGCATCTAAACAAATTTGATGAACTTAGTTTGCACATTACTCAAAAACCATGTGACCGCTGAATTTTATTTGTGATTGGTCATAAATAAGACAATTAGCAAAAATAAGAGCCGGAAGACCGTATCTGTCAGTCACAGATTTCAAAATCTAGTCATCAATATTAGCGATAACCTTCAAACTTCTTGTTGGAAAAATAGCGAAGAGTGATACCTTGGGTTCCCCATCTGTCTCACTGGAATGTTTTCTTCGCTTGGAGTGGTTACGCTTATTTCCCCGGGTCTTAGAAACCTTAAAAGACAAAGATAATCAGTTATTGTCTAATTGGCTTGTAGCGTCACACGCTGCCCCAAAAATCCATAGCCTAGGGTTTGACGAGATCCAACATTGATGCTGATGTTTAGTCCCGAAGTAAGGGATCCTTATACACTTCTCAAAGCCGCTCTCTTGAAGAAAAGCGATATCACCGGTCGGCAACGCCTAGGCGCATTGATTCGTAACATCAAGCTAGGCAGCTACTCAGTTACTGAAGTCCTCGCATGCATGCGAGAAGTTATCGGCGCACAAATACTCGACAGTGGCCATTTCCGAGAACTGTTTCTCCCAAAATTACCACAACTGGTTCAAACCGTGCCACTGACACTGCAGTCACTCAAACTCGATGACCTGGCAGCCTCAGCAGATAAAACACTGGAGATTTCCAGCAGACCCATCTCCAACGTATATTCTGTCTGCGGCAAACCAGAGAGCCATGATTCAGGATGACCAAGCTGTACAACTCTGTAAAACAGTTGCTACGATCTCGAAGTCCTAGTTCACGTGGCGCTTCACAGAAACGCATCATAGCGCATCGCAGCAACTCGCTTGGTTGCCTAAAAACTAAACCTAACTGGGCTGAAAACCATAAATGGTGCTGGTTTCATAATACTTATGGAGAAGAAGCCGGAAAGTGCCGGAAGCCATGCAGTTTCAACATGGACACAAACTCGGGAAACTGCCACGCCGGCATGTGTTCACAGCAACTTTGGCCGGCGGAAACAGCCGTTTGCTCTACGTCACGTATATTAAAACGGAAGTTCGCTACCTCGTCGACATCGGCACAGAAGTTAGCGTTCTTCCTGCACCGACAAAGGAGCGTTATCACAACCCGTCCTTCAATCTCCAAGCAGCCAACGGCAAGGCAGTCGCGACATTTGGGAGACAGTATGCCCACCTCAACTTAGTTTTACGTAAACCTATCCACTGGATTTTTCTCCCGGTTGACGTCTCTATGCCCATCATTGGCATAGATTTGTTAAACCATTGCGATTTACTCGTAGATGCTCGCCGTCGATGTCTGATAGATAACAACACAAAGTTATCTATTGGCGGCACCACCTGTGTAGGTCCGAGTTTAGCCATCGTTAGAACCAAACAATCAGGCGACGCGTCCTATCAAGCAGTTTTGGAGAAATATCCAGAGTTGCGACAACTGAAGCACACTCTTCCGTGCATAACCAGCAATGTTATGCATCACGTGACAACCACAGGTCCACCTGTGGCATCCAAAGCGCGGCGTTCAACCCCTGATAAGCTCAAAACGGAGAAGAATGAATTCGACCATCGCCATTGCACATGGTTCCCAGAAAGGATAGCAACGACTGGTGTCCAACCGGTGATTACCGAAGGCTTAACGCCAAAACAACTCCGGATTGCTACCCGATACCTCACGTTTACGATTTGACTGCAACGTTATGTGGAATGAACATTTTCTCCAAAATCGATTTGGTCAAAGCGTATAACCAGATACCTATGGCAGCAGAAGATATCGCGAAAACAGCCATTATTACTTCTTTTGGCCTGTTTGAATTCCTGCGCATGCCATTTGGTCATCAGAATGCAGCACAAACATTCCAACGCCTTATGGATGATGTCTTCCATGGTTTGAATTTTGTTCATGTCTACATCGATGACTGTCTACTTGTGAGCCCAGATAAGGAAACTCACTTTAAACATTTGGACCCCGCATTCAAAGGACTTAAAAAACATGGCATCACAGTCAACTTGCAGAAGTGTGAAATGGGGGTTGAATCACTCAGCTCCCTTTGACATACCATTGACAACGCCCATTGAGAGATAAAGTGGCGGCTATCACAAACTGTCCAGAGCCGACCACTGTGAAACACCTCAACACTTTCAGTGGCCTGGTAAGTTATTACCAAAGGTTTATCCCCAACTGTGCCTCTGTCATGAGACCACTAACAGATCTACCTCTGGACAACGTAGCCAGACTTGCTTTCTCTAAAGTCAAGGAAGCCATCTCAAACGCAATTATGCTCATGCATCATGACCCCAATGCTCCTTTGAGTATTGCTGTTGATGCATCTGATTCAGCAATTGGAGCAGTTTTGCAACAATTGACTGACCACCAGTGGCAACCGTTAGCCTTTTTCTCGAGGCGGCTGCAAGACGTGGAAACGAGATACAGTACACTTACTAGGAAACTCCTAGCTATGTACTGTTCTGTAAGCCACTTTCGACATTCGGTGGAAGGTCGTGATTTCATTATTTTCACAGACCACAAACCGTTAACCTTTTCCCTCAGCTCGGCGTCTGACAATACTCCCCACGTGAGTCGCGACAGCTGGATTACATTTCCCAGTTCACGTCAGACATCCACCACATTTCTGGAGCAAATAACTCCGTAGCCGATGCACTATCACGAATAGCTTCGATAAATCATATCGAGGGCGTTGATTTCGTTGAATTAGCTCGGCGTCAAAAGGAAGACCTTGAGCTGCATCATGAGTTGTCGTCCACAACTCTCAAGCTGCGACTTTGTCCGGTTGGATCAGACAAGGATACAATTTTGTGCGATGTCTCTGCTAGTCAACCACCCCCAATAGTTCCGAAGAGTTGTCAACGCAACGTCTTCAATACGTTGCACAAACTCTCCCATCCAGGTGTACGAGCCACCATTAGGCTCATGGTACAACGTTTCTGCTGGCCTGGGATGAACAAAGACGTTAAGGAGTGGGCTCAGTCGTGCTTAGCTTGTCAAAAGTGCAAAGTCATGAAACATATGAAAAGCTCTTTAGGCTCTTTTCTAGCCCCAGACATTCGTTCCGACCACATCCATATAGATATTGTAGGACCCCTACTAGAATCTGATGGAAGTGCCTACCTTTTCACTCGCGGGGATAGTTTTACTCGATGGCAGGAATCACTACCTATTAAGGATATTACTGCGGAAACTGTAGCTCGTGTTTTCGTCGAAAGATGGATCGCGAACTTCGGATGTCCATCTTATGCAACAACAGACCGTGGGCTCCATTTCTAGTGTGGATTATTTCACGCTAACTGCACTTTTTAGGTTGCACTCGGTTCCGAACAACAGCCTACCGTCCATAAGCAGATGACATGGTAGAGCGTTTCCATCGGCAGCTGAAAGGGAAGCTTTCGGCTGCAAACATACCTCAGTGGACCGAGGCTCTACCTCTAGTCCTACTGGGTATTCGCAATGCGTGGAAAGCTTATGCTGGATACACCTCTGCAGAACTCGTCTACAGGACCACTCTTCGCCCACCGGGTGAGTTTGTTTCTCCTTCAGTTTTCAACCACGCTTCCCACATGGCATTTTCGTGACTAGGATTACAAACGCAATGCGTTCAGTTAGGCCCTCTCCTGCCAGACCTCAATCGACTGATGTCTTCGTTCACCCCGTTCCTCGACCGCTTGAACCACCCCGTGATGCGCCATTCAAAGTGATCGAGTGACACCAGAAATTCTATATAATGGAGCAAAACGGATGTGAAGACACTGTTAGTATCGACCGATTGAAACCAGCTTATTTCGAAGGCCACCCCATTATAAGTGACGTTTCAGCTCGGTACAGCCGACCGATGGATAGCTCAATTATCCAAATTCTTGACGACGTGCACGCTAATGCACAGTCACAACAACATTCGGCGCAACAGAAAACAAGGTCAGGCCGAACCGTTAGGTTCCCGGAGTGTTCAAGTCGTAATCAACTTAATCGCGTGAAATAAGATGCGCCTAACGTATTTTTTATTTCATTGATTTTCGGGGTACCGGTAGAGAAACAAGTGGCTTTTTACTTCCGGCTGGTATCGTCTTAGGGTCCTCACGAATCCACTAGAGAGGGGGTGACCTGTAGCGTCATACACTTCCCCAAAATCAATAGCCTAGGGTTTGACGACTTTCTACATTGATGCCGACCTTGATAATTTGACTGGACTTGCTAAGCTGAAGGCACTCGGTCAAGCATCCTCGCCATTTGGCACGCTGTCGTGTTACGTTGCACTGCTGGTAATCGACCCTCCAACCCGTTAGTTGGAGAGCATCGGTATCTTGGCACAACCACCCAGATATACTATTCCATCCGACTACGCTACCGTGATCTTCCTTGGTCTAGCATTCGTGGGTGCATAACAAGTTTGAATAATTGGTGACTGGCCTTTGCGTTTGTCAAGCTGACACCAGGGCAATTCCCAAAACTTCCGTCAGTGGTCCAGCTAACAATGGACGGTAGGAGGTCGGGAGTTTTCTTGTGTACGTCTCATACTTACCACCGAACTCTGAGTGCGAATGCAGCCCCCTCATTAGGGCTTAAAGAGCGAAGGTTATATCAACTTCAGGAAGGGAGTCCCACAGTTTACACACTAACTGAAATCGAGATAGTCCCGATCATTGTGAATGCACTCATTTTCTACTCCCAGTCGATGGCCTCTAAGGTGAGGTTTGCGATTTCCGCGATGTTAAACACCATGACATTATCCCCAAAATCGTTCTATGTCGTATCACATGTAGCCTAAGAGCGAAAGGGTTAGATTGGTGCGAGGACAGGACAAGATGAAAACGAATACAAATGTGGCGCACTGTAGTGAAAAACAGAGTTTGGCTGCCTGGAGTTTGACAAAGGACCCTGGGACACCATGTGCCACATTGAAGGCAGTGCAACAATGTGCAGAAAGCCCAAGTGCATCCCTTGAATG